GTACAACAAGCGCTTAGGAAGCATTATGAAAGAAATCGCAAATAAAAAAGTTACAAGAATAGTCTTAAAAAGAGCTCCGAATTTGTACAGAATACTTAGAAATGATAAAGGGATAGTTAAAAAAGAGGATAGGTCAGGTGTATATAAGATCCCATACGAGAATCAGATGTTAGGAATAGATAAAGAATATGTTGGGGTTACTACTAGAAATCTAGGGGTAAGGATAAAAGAGCACAGATATGATGTGAGAAAAGGTTCGAATGCCACAGTATTGTCTCAAATGGCGCAAACGGAGGGTTCGATAGTAAGATGGAATGAAGCAGATATACTGAAACAAATACACTCCCCGACCTTGGCAAAAACGGCCGAAAAATTAGAAATTTATAAAAGCAAACTTAAAGGGAATTGCATCAACGCAAGGGATGCCGAGGGACTTCCTTCCGCATGGAAGTTTGCAGTTAAAAACTTCAAATAAGAGCAGGAGCTTTAATATTATGTATATAAAAAACTCTGTATAGTTTAGTTGAGAAACTCCGTACAGTTTATTAAGCATTATTAATATATAGTGTTATCGATTTGTCTATTAAGTTTGAAGTATTAATATTTTGTATACACAATTTATTTGTTATATTTTAATATTTTATTTTTATTTATAATTTTAGCAGCATTTGTATTAATTATATTATTTAAAAACGTTATTTTGCTGTTAGTAATATATTGGTTATCCGTTATTAATATTTATATTTTTTGTATTTTGAACTTGTTGTTCTATTTTTTGAAATGTTCTAATTTACCTGACGATGATCCATTGATTGGATTGAAAACGTTTGTGTTAAGAATAAATCTCTCAGCGAGTGAACAGGTGTTGATTTAGTTATAGTTTATTATTTTCTGCTGAGCACGCTTTGGGTTGTTTATATCTTATTCAGTAATTATAAAATTTTAATAATAAAAATAAATTTTTTTAACAGATTCATATTATTAGTATATAATTTATGTAAAATTAGTTAAAGTAGGATTTAACAGTATTATTATTATATATGTTGTTGATTTTCAGTTAATTAAATTAACTTTTACTCATAGTGTTTAGGTTTTTTTAACAGCAAAAGTGGAAAAAATTTGTATTTCTCTAATAAATTTAGCAGAATTGAATTCTGCTGTAATGTTTTGTATGTGGTAGTGTATATGAAAGAAATATTTCTCACCAGTTTTATATTCCAAGAAATTTGTTATAATTTTTTAGATTTTATTAATACTGAAAATTTGTCGGATTATTTTAAATGGATTACATCAATCCTTGACAATAATCTATCTATTTATATATCACTTGAATGAAAACAGTTAATAAACTCATTAGGAGTTTATTAGAACTACATAATTAGATCCATGTAAATATAAATTTTTTAACTTGATTTATTTGCATGTTTTTCTCACATATTATACTTTTTTTTTTCTAAATTATGTAGATAATTTTTATTTTTAATTGTAATCTGAATATTTTATTTTTGAAATAATAATATTAATAATGTCTAGGGTTTCTCTAATGGGATCCTGGCTGTTTTTTTAATGCAGGAAATTCTTCTCATCCCTGGAAATTCCTGCAAATTTCTTAAAAGTTTATTTTTTTCTTATTTTGCATTAAGATTGACGAAATTTTGCAAATAGAAAGTATAATTAACTCATAAACTGTCAAAATACATTTGTATCTATTAATTTTAAGCCTGCTTATTAGTTTTTTTAAATTTTTGCTTGTTAGGGCATGTCACAGATTGTTAATAATCGATATGTAGCCTATTTGTAGCAGAACTCTGAAAATTTTTTTACTTGTCAGAACTTGTAATATCTTGAATAATTGCACTTATGTTGTCTTAATTTTTAACTATGCCCAGTAACTTCAATAACTGCATTATGCCAGGTTGTGCAAATTGGGCAAGGATACAAACAAGTATGAAATTTTCTTCATAAACCTGATTTATTAAAGCCAAACGAACTGATGAATTATCGGGCTATAAGCTTGATGCTGCTATTAAAGCAGCCGCGGTAGACAAATCAAGAATACTAGACAGCAAAAGATGTACTGCAATGCATCTCAAAAACGAACTAGAAATCTTCAAGGCTACAGGTGAAAAACCACATAACATCTGTTTTCTCTTAAATGCACTAAAGATGGCTCCACCCACATCAATTGAATTGGAAAGGCATTTTTGGTAGCAGGACTTCATATTACTAAAATAAGAACCAGATTGAGTGATTGGCGTATTGACCATCTTTGCTTTTTAAAATCTTATTATAAAAATTTACAATAATATTTTNGTAAGAATTTAAGAAACTGATGAAAGCTTAAGAAGAGCTGAAAACATTTCTGCTAATTAAATAAGTCCAGTTATCTTAAACAGATAGTCTTTGCTCTCTCAACTATATCATTCTTTATCAAACAGATACATTTCTGAAACAATGCAATGCAATTTGAGAATGGCTAGAAAAAAGTTTTAAAAGCCAAGATGACTGATGATGAAAAATGTTAAAAAGAACTGATCAAAAGAATATAATTATTGTAATGTGTTATTATATATATTATCATCAGATTATCTGTTTCTTATTTTACATTGCCAATGTATAAAATTGGAGAGCAGGTAAATGTACATAATGTTTCAAGATTTATTCTATATCTTAAAAATAATTATATCCTGGGATTCCTCAGGATCCTGGGAAACAGATCACTTTTTTCTTGAAATCCCAGGACAAACAAAGGACCGGGAAATGAGAAACCCTAATAATGTCCAATAAAAACTATCATAATTTTATGTTTATGATAGTTTTTATTGGACATTATTAGGGTTTCTCATTTCCCGGTCCTTTGTTTGTCCTGGGATTTCAAGAAAAAAGTGATCTGTTTCCCAGGATCCTGAGGAATCCCAGGATATAATTATTTTTAAGATATAGAATAAATCTTGAAACATTATGTACATTTACCTGCTCTCCAATTTTATACATTGGCAATGTAAAATAAGAAACAGATAATCTGATGATAATATATATAATAACACATTACAATAATTATATTCTTTTGATCAGTTCTTTTTAACATTTTTCATCATCAGTCATCTTGGCTTTTAAAACTTTTTTCTAGCCATTCTCAAATTGCATTGCATTGTTTCAGAAATGTATCTGTTTGATAAAGAATGATATAGTTGAGAGAGCAAAGACTATCTGTTTAAGATAACTGGACTTATTTAATTAGCAGAAATGTTTTCAGCTCTTCTTAAGCTTTCATCAGTTTCTTAAATTCTTACAAGAAATGCTGTTCTCATTCTAGTTATCTAAAATTTATTCAAGAAAAGTATAATAGTACAATGGGTGATTGGTTAACAAACAGTTTGGACTACAAACAAATTGGATAATGAACACTTTCGTAAAAGATTTTTATGTTCAGACAACAAACACCTCACAGAACAAACACAAGAAGAAGCGACATAAAATAATGAATACCGATTGGTCTTCCCTTGTCTTCAGGCAACAATTCAAAACTTTTCGGAGTGCGGGAGACATCGACATCAACGCTCAATCTGGTATATACTGATCAGATAGTAGTCCTCCAAACTTTGAAACTCTCCCTTGTAATTCCAGCCTTTTATTTTTCTGACAGAAACAATTCTTTTATAGTATTTGCAAGACTGTCAGGTGGGCACTTGTTAAGTTTTGCGTTGTTTTTTATTTTCGAATGGTGAGAACTGTATATATATGTATATTTATTATTACATATAAATAAATGTAGTAAGAAAGTATATATTTTTTGTATTTTGGAGTTTCCAGAACAAATTAATCAAATTCCCATAAAAACCTATGGTAAATCAATAATCGGTTAACGAGCAATTCAGATAGCAAACAAAGTTTTGGAAAGAATTATGTTCGTTAACAGATCACCCACTGTATTTTTTCTTAGTCATAGATAATAAGCTTCTATAAAATTAGTACATTACTTGTGGTTGTTCTTTGAATATCTGCTTTCTTTCAGGAAAATATTGTCTCAGAATAGATTTTGAAAGATTATGAAATCTATTAAATTTGTTATTAAGTCAGATAGAAAAATCTGACTGAAAAATAATAAATTTGCTTTTTTACTCAGTAGAGAGAGCATTTTTTGTTATATATATCAGCAAAGATCATTTCTGTTGGTGAGCAAATGTTTCCTATTAAAGTGCAAATTTATTGAATATGTGGTTAATAAATATAAGTTTTGAAAATTTAACACACCTGAACCATTTACGGTGTGATGATGCAAAACATCGGTAAACAAACATTTTCGAACCCCTTCTGGGCTCTGCTTCAGGTTTCAATCAGTTTCTAAAAGGACGTTCAATATCCATTAGAAGTAGAAATCCGTTCGATCATGTCATTTAAAGCTTGAGTTCGAATTGTAGGTTTGAATGGATTCACACGATCCAAGTCGTGCATGTGCGACCAGTTCACCCGTTAGAGTTTGATGGGTGAATTAGAGCGTGTTGTGAATTAACTCCTGCCAGGCCATTGATAACAGCATCTCCTCTTTAAAATTTATGCACGTGTTGGTGGTGGAGGATATAAATATGTGCATGGCCTCTAGCCATTTGAGGTGTTCAATAGGAGGCGAATCGTGGAGGAGAATGGCCTGGGAGAAGTTCGCTACCATATCCGGATTGGTTACATACGTAGCGAGGGCCGTGGAAGTTCTTCCGTGCCGAATATCGGCTAGATGCTCTTGTATTCTGACTCCCAAGGATCGTTTAGTGGAGCCTATATATAGTATCCCCGTATAGTATCCTTCACGGGGATACTATAGATGCCAGGGCGTCTGATGGGGTTGGGAGGGTCCTTTCCATTACGTAAGAGATTGAAAATGGTGGGACACCTCCTAAATGCTAGACGTAGCTGACGTTTGGTGGCAAGCTTAGCATATAGAGATTTTAAGTACGGATTGTATGTGATGGCAATACGTTCTATTTCTTCAAGACGGCCGTCCTCGACTTGATCCGATTCCTGTGCATTCCCCGAATATATACGTTGCTGATATTGTATTAGCCTATGTATATGTTTGTGATACCCGTGTTGGGCGGTAACATGGTGTATGTAGGCTAGTTCGGTATCCCGAGCCTGGATGTTGGATGAATGTATAAAGGCTCTTCTGATTAAAGCTCTAAAGGCTGCAGTCTTGTATGAGCTCGGATCACAGGAGCCAGTCGGAATATATGATGTGTACCTGGGTTTATGATATACCAATGTATTGATTCCCAACGTTATTTTAGAAACTGATTGGATCCTGAAGCAGAGCCCAGGAGTTCGAAAATGTTTGTTTACTGATGTTTTGCATCATCGCACCTTAAATGGTTCAGGTGTGTAAAATTTTTTGAAAATTTAATTTTGACTTGCTATTGATATACATTTCAATAATGAATAACTTTTCAGAGGCTATTTTACATTTTAGAAAAATACGTAAATGGAAATAATGTCATAAAATAACATTATTTCATGATAGTATATAATACTGTACATGGTATTGTGTATAAAATATATAACAGCAGCTTAATTTGAATTATTTATACTTTTTAAAATTATTATTACAATTATTTTACTAAAGTTAATTTAGGAGTTAATTTTTTCAAAGAGAAGTTTGTATTAGTTTTATAAAATGCTAATGAGAATTAGTCAAAATGAAATGACTGGAAGCGGCAGTTCTATTTAGTATACAACAAGTTGTATATTAAATAGTTAACAGCAAATTGTTCTATTGTTAAAAATAAATATAATATATATACAGTAAGACCCTGCTTAACGCAGGGGATATGTTCCTAGATGACAAAGCACGAAATGAAACAGCATTAAACAAGGTCATTTTAACACAGAAAAAATAGGGAAAGGAAACATGCTCCAAAAAGAAACATATTTTACTTTAAGTTATTTTTATATTAATTTGCATAATAATATGTTAAATAACACAAATGTATGCACACAGAAATGTAAAGTTCATTTTTTGTGAAATCCCTGGCTCTTCTGAAATTCTTGTTTTTTGCATTAAAGTCATGTAATTTCTTTGTTGCTTTTTTTTCTTTCCTTAAGCAAATGTCAGTAACAGAAGATCACATCCAAAACATCTCTTTTTGCTTTTGCACTCCTTTCAAAATCTGGATCATTTGCTACAATTTGATCAATGATTTCAGTTATAATTACCAAACTTTTACTAACTTTTACTGTAGAGAAATTCTTCATGTTCTTTTTTTCAGAGTTACTATTTTTCAGTTCTACATGAATTCCTTGTTCTGTCAGTTCTTGAAGGTCCAGTTGGTAAAGTTGTCACCAGAAACCTGCAGTAACTCTTCAATATCCTGCTCATCTACATCTTCTAGTCCTGCTGTATCGATTAGGTTGACCAAATTGTCAATGTAATGATACAGTGATAGATTCTTCTCATTGAGAATTCTTGGATACCTTCAGCCATAACTTTTTCCACACTTTGTTCATGCAGTTATCAGTTAATTCTTGCCAAGTGAAGTCAATATTACCTATGGCATTCATGATATATTTTTTTAAAAATTACATCAAACAAATATAGATTTAAGGAAAGTACAGCACTACGACAAATTGTCACCTTTTGCTGATTGTTTCATGTTTGGGAATAATTGTATTATATACGAATCAATAAAATGCCGTGATAATTTGAATTAGCGTAAATTTTGAGCTTTTTTTTTTTTCTTCTTTGAGCATGCTGTGTTACATTGAATCAGCATTAAGTGTGGTCTTACTGTGTATATATATTATGATTTTTGGAATATTTGATTTTTAATTATTTTTTACAGGCAATGAACAGATCTCTTCCTAATGTTATATTTGGTGGATATGGGACATCAAGTACAGGAGGTGGAAAACCAATGGCAATTACTGGAACTCATACTGAGACAAATGTTGAACAAGTTGTACAGATGATTGAAGATGCCAAAAATATTATAATTACTCCAGGATATGGTCTTTGTGTGGCAAAAGCTCAATATCCTCTCTCTGAAATGGTTAAGATTTTAAAGAAAAAAGGAAAGAATGTAAGATTTGGAATTCATCCAGTTGCAGGTATGTTACATATAATACCTAAGTAATAAGATGTGCAATGATTTGTTTTTATAAATTTTTACATTGCTTTGGTCATGTCTATTGTTGTTTTCATTTATATTCAGTTTATATTAGCCATGGATTTATTTGAACTTATTACTAATTAACAGAATATATATAAATGGTTAGTAATTGAATGATTTTAACACTTTAAACATAAAATTTGCCTAAATTGGCCTTATTTGCTTAAAACAAAATTGCCAATGGAAAAGTTGTTTGACTGGTTTTACTATACAAGTTCTCGTTGTAGCCTGAGGGGTAAAAACAATCCAGTCTCTAGGAACATAAATAGAAATAATTTTCAGAGCTTAGAGTTAATATATTATGTGCCAAATTATTGCAAATATGCAACATTCAGCAATTTACCCAGGCTGCTTGTCCAGAAATGCAACACACTATACATTGAAATCTGTGTTGTGTTACTTTGGAGCAACGTGCTTGCGATATAAACACAATGGAAATGGTTAGAGCGTGGCTTGTGGAAATGAGCATTTTACCTAGTAAATTTTTTATAATAGAATAGTAAAAGTAAGTTAATTTTTTTTCTTTACAAAATATGAAATACAGTAGAGCGTCGTTTATCCAAGAGTCGATAATCCAAAACATCAATTATCCGAAAGAATTCCAGTCAGCAAATTTAAATTTTTACCAGTGCTGTGGTGCTGCAATCTTTGGCTATGTCTTGGGCTACTCAAATATTTTAAGTTTTTTATACTAAATTAACTTCTGAAGTATAATTTTTTATTGTTTTTATATTTTTCAATTGTTTGTACAAAATAAAAAAATAATTTTTAATGATACAATAGTCTTCGTTAGGCTTAACATTGATGAAAATTCAACGCAAAGCGACATGCAGCAGAGAAAAATTTCAACATGGGATAGGTTAATATATTTTTTCGTACATAATCGGTTATCCGAAATATCGATTTTCCGAACAACCCCAGTCCCCAATTGATTCGGATAAACGACATTCTACTGTATAAGCAAAATTTGCTTTTTCTAATTTTTTTCTTGCATAATAAATGTGAAAAATACAATATCATGAAAATATATAACACACAAACAAATATTTAAGAAAAAATTTTAATCTTTCAGTAAACATAAACAGTAAAAATACCAGTAGTAATATTATTTTAGCTATTATTCTATTTCTCTTCAGTTTGTATTGGTCCCTTTATGCAATCTTGATTATGGTGAAGTTTGTTTCAATTAAAAACCTGAGGATTAGCATATAAGATGGAATAACATAATCAGAAAAAATCATTCAGGCCAAATGTTGCAATTCCATAACATGCCTAAAAATTAAGAAAAAAAAATGTTTTTTAACAATGCAGACTAAATTATATTGAATGACCATCATATTTTTGCCATTTTGTCCACACGACCCTCTTTATCTCCCTACCCCTTCAACCTTTAACTACCAAAATTTAATATCATCAATTCCCCTAATACAGAAACCTCCCTACCAATACCAATATACAATAACTAAATCGCAGCGGGATTTAGTTTCTCCAAATACATCCATGCCAAAAATAGAGTTATACAGTCTCTCTTCCCTGCCACCACATTGCGCAGACCAAGGAATTGGACAATGCTCTGAACCTCACTCCCATACTGTGGATGATTCACAGCCCGGATCTTTAGGTAGAATGGTTTTTGTTTACCTATTGCCCCACGACCATGTCTGCGACGAATCTTGTGTAATGATAGAGATGCTATATCCACCCTGGAAAAATCTGGTGTATACTCCGTTCCCCTGCAGAATCCAATATCAGGACTACGAACCAATTATATAGGAGCAGCTGCTCGCGTATCTGAACACCAACGTCCGGTGGCACTTGGCAATTGTGACACCGAACTCTCCAAATTGGTGATATAACAACACCACATAGCACTTTGGAATCAAGTGGCAATACGCAAATGCTGTGATGAAGGAAGCTTGATATATATTTGGGAGGCTCTCCTCACAAAACTGCTCTCCCCATGCAACTCCCCTACCCTTGACTTACTGGACGTCTGGATTAATTTATACAGGCGTTTAAAAATCAACAATAGTTCTACACCAGTGATGGGCAAACTACGGCCCGCGGGCCAGATGCGGCCCCCTGAAATGTTCTATCCGGCCCGCGCGACATTATTCCTAATCTGACAAGTAAAAAAGAATACAGGCTGTGGTGGTTGATGCACCACTTAACTTGAGTGTTTGTTGATTATATAAAATAACCGAAGCTTTATATCTCACCATGAAAGTTTATTTACGATCATGTACAAAATTTTGTTTTACACTTATTGGGTAAAAGCTTGATCGGTTACAAGCATGCTTCGGTACAGAACATCCACTCGTCATGCGTAGCGTAGCCGAAAGACAGAAAAAGAAATATGGCGGACGGCCTACACATGTTTTTATAGCGCCACCTGGATTTTCAGTTGCAGCGCTGGGTTACAATTATATTGGCCCGCCTAAAGTTTTCTTTTCCTTTGGCCCGCTCTTTAAAAAGTTTGCCCATCACTGTTCTACACTCATTTCCTGCACCTCCTATGATTCAAGGCGCATACGTGTCGGCCTCTTTATGTGCATCTTTTTATATGTTACATGTGTTTTATGTATTTTAAATTATGTCCCACGCTTTTATATTTAAATTTTAATGTAAACTTGCACTTGTGGCTCTATTCCGATTGCTTCTATGCTGTCTTTGTTAAGGCACATGCGTGCCAAAAATTTTATACATGTTTACAAAATGTTTTTAATTTAAAGTCTAAAATTTACTTGTTCTTAATAGCCATTCTAATTGGCTCTTATGTTAAGCATGTTAAGGTGCACGTGTGCCAATTTTTCGTGTTTACAAAAAAGGCTTCATAATTTCAATGATCTTAATTACTAGCCATTCCAATTGGAGTATACAGTGGGTGATCGGTTAACGAACATAATCCGTTCCAAGACTTTGTTTGCTATCCGAATTGTTCGTTAACCGATTATTGATTTACCATAGGTTTCTACGGGAATTTGATTAATTCGTTTTGGATAAGCCCAAAAATAAAAAGTATATACTTTCTTACTACATTTATTCATATGTATAAATAATAATAAAAATACATATATACACGGTCTTGCATTTTTATTAATCATGTTTTTTCTGTTTGTGGGGGTTAAAGAATCTGTCCAATGTCGATTGCTTTTCTGTCTTATTCATGATTTTTCAGAAGTAATTAATAGCATTGTAATTGTAGAGATCCCTAGGCCTAGTAACCTCAACTTGGTTTGGATGCCATTTTAAGACAGTTGTTCTGACATCCTCCTACTTCTTCAAAAGATCTTTAATAGCAGATATCGGCATAAATCCGCATTTTCAGAAGAAAACGTAAAAGAATTGTTTCTGTCAGAAATACAAAAGGCTGGAATTACAAGGGAGAGTTTCAAAGTT